CAAAGTGAGTTCAAGTCCTGCCTGAACTGCATAGCAAAACTTTGTCTCAAAAAATAATAATAATAATACTTAAAAGTAAAAGTACTGCCTCCTTCCAGCCTTCTCTCAAATCTCTAGTGTCTCCAGGACCTGTGGTAGGCATCAAGAATACACAGACAATGTCTCCCAACAGCAAATGAGTCAATCAAGTATACTATGATAAAGGCTTTGATGGTGGAGCATATAAAACACATGGCTATGCTTCAAAAGGCTTCCTAGTGAACACAAGGCATAGCTGACACTTGAAATGGGCAAGAATTACTATGACAAATAGGGAAGCACATTCCTACAAATAATTCTTTCTCCAGCACAAGCAGACCACTCAAGAATATGGTCAAAAATCAAAAGTAGGTACCATCTACACAACACAAACAGTGTTTCAAAGTGAAGTTTTGGTGATGGTAATTTTCAAGTCAAACTCAATATACTTCTACCATGCATTCCCTTGCTCCCCTCTGTACAACTCATCATAGTCACTATATTATCCATACAGCCGCCACTTAGGACAAACCACAGTAAGGCCCTTATGAAGACACAAAAGCATCCTCATGTACACTCACTGCCCTAATTAAATGTGCTTTATGATATAGGTATACAGCAGCACAGCACTAGGATTAAAAGTTTGATGACTGGGGCCAGCCAATCTGGGTTCAAATGCAGAGGACACCGTCTGCTTCTTATGTGATCTTACGCAAGTTACTTACCTCCTCCATGCCTCAATTTCCACATCAAGGATGTGAGAAAAATAATGGTAGTCACCCACTGGGCTACTAAGACAAATGTGTCAATTTATCTGACTCCTCGTAAGCACCATCCAAGTTTTTGCCATTACTCAATAAATGCTAGCTATGTAAAATAAAGATATATATATTCTCATAGTTTGAAAATAAATCCGTTACTCTAAATATATGCAAGACTTTACCCTAAAAACCTCAAAGCATTACTGAACTGAATATGAGCTAAACAAATGGGGAAATTCATGTGTTCACAGACCAACAGGCTTCATACTGTTAAGACATCAATTCTTCTGTAACTAATCTACATTTTTTTATGTAATCCCAATCAAAATCAGGGCAGCATTTTTTTTTTTTAGAACTTGACAAGCTGATTCTCAATTTCATGGAAAAGACTAGCCGAAATAAACTCTGAAAAGAAAGAGTACTTCGACTACCTGATTTCAAGATTTAGTACAAAGCTACAGTAAACAAGGCTAAATGGTAGCAAGAAAAAGGAAACCAAATGTCTATATGAAGACCTGAATATGAGGGGCCGGGAATATAGCTCAGCATCTGCCTGGTAAGCTTAAGGTCCTGAGTTCAATTCCCAGTACCTAAAAAAAAAAAGACCTGAATACAAATGCTCATAATAACTGTGTTCTTAATAGCCAAAAAAGTGGAAACAACCCAAGAATAACATGTAAGATAACCACACGATGCAGTACTAGTCAGCAACAATAAAATGAAAACATGTAAGACAGATGACTCTCAAATAATTCTGCTAAATGGATGAAGCCAAACCAAGAGAGTAAATACTGTGCAATTCTCTTCCTACAAAATTCTAGAAAATCCAACCTACTCTACCGTGATAGAAAACAAGCCAGTGGTTACCTAGAAATAGGGTGGGAGAGGAGACTGATTACAAAGGAGCAGGAGGAAACTTGGGCAGTGGTAACTGTGGAAGTGGTCACACAACCAACCCTACATACTTGTTAAAACTCATCACATTGTACACTTAAAATCAGTGAATTTCCTTGTATAAATTATGTCTCAATATAAATACTTCATAAGGCAGCAAGTACTGTCTTTTAAGAATAAAAGCATACCTTTTGCTTTCCATGCTCATGAAAAGAGCACAGGCAAGCATTAACCATTCACTTAACATTCTGGAGAAAGGTATATTACAATCCGTGAATTCCACAAACTTAGCATGATGAAACAACCAAAAACATGGTTCTTTTATATCATTCTCTCCTTCAAGTAAAACATCAAGGAAATTTTACATAAGAATTTCCCAATTCTGCATAAGCCTACTTATTGTAGACAAAAATTAAGAAGCAACAGAGAACCTACTGGCATGCTTGTAACTAGCCACAAAATTATCTAAGCCTACCAGATTCCAGGAAACTACAAAAAGAAGTACAAAAGTGATTTAACATGATGAAAGAGCTTTTGTGCTATCTAACATTTCACATTGGTACTTCCAATGATTCTAATTCTACTCCTATAGAAATAACCCTGCAAAGGTGAAGAGCAAGAGCATAGAAATTGTTCCTTAAAGCTAGAAGTAAATCAGTAATAGGGAACATACAGAAAACGCTCCTAATTTTTATCTCACGAAGTTCTCAGGGGAGCACTACTTACCTGATTAATTCTCCTGAGCAAAGATGTTTTTCTCCTTAAGTCTTAAAAAATAATAAATATTTTACTTGTTTTATAATAATAATAAATATTTTACTTGTTTTATAATAATAACCACAGTTATTTGTTAAATACATCTGTTTGTTGACCCTCAAGCTTTAAACTTAAAAAACAAATCTGTAACATAAGCAATAAATGAAGACATAAACATTTATAGGAAGAAAGAAAGGCCATGTGAGCAATTTTCACGTTCAAACAACCACACAATATGTAGTTCCATATTGTAGACATTTGGTTATTTCTAGGGCAATGTGCTACTTCATCTTCCAATTTCTCTTGTCATAAAAATTTGTTCAATAGATAGCTCACAGCTTAAGATAGTTAACATCTGAATTTGGCTTGCCTTTCCTTTCGTAAAGCAAGAATACAAATAATCATCATTCTCGGTGCTCCAGAGTATGATACCTTCTAACTTCAATGCTTCTACCTTCAATGTGTCTCTCCTTTTCTGGATTCCTCCTGTCTTATCTTTCACCGCCTGTCTTATCTGGAACGTATTTGCCTGACTCCTTGAGCCAGAAGCAATCTGTCTTCTGAATTCCCAAGGCTCTCTCCTCTAGAGTCTCATGACACTTAACCCTTTCCTGGACTGTTACACGTCTTTCAGTGCTGGAAATTCTGTTTGCCCTAAGTATCCTGGAAAGAAGTTCCACACTTTACTCAGTCTTGTATCCTTTAGAGTGCTTAGTGCCTGGAGCTAAACACTCATTGGGTACCCTGTCTAGAATGGAAAGGCTAACACTCAGCAATGCTTTTGGCATGGTGCAACATGCCCTTGCCTCAGTGGATAGGAAAAAATACCATCAGCGATAGAGATCTACTCTAAGTCTACCAAGCGACACCAACATGTAACCAGACTAACGCGATTTCACTAAGTGTTACAATAAGAGATAAACAAGGTGGTGGTAAGAGGAACATCATGCCTGTTGAACCTTCTTCTGAACCCATAAACTACATGCTACGACACTGACATCTATATTTATGAAGGTCTTACTGACCAAAAAAAGCTTCAAGAGGGTGTAATAAGGACCCCATAATGTCATAAAATTTCATACACAACCTGAAACTAACACTCTACCTCTATGGCCACCTTACTTGCAAACAAGAAGCAGCAAATTTCTCTCTATTCTCAGTGAAGTGATCTGCAATAACCAGACCTGGTCTTCTTATCTTTAAAGAAACATGCCCATAGCATCATCTTGTCTGTGAGACTGTGTATCATTTCCAAATACCAGGTGCCACTCCCATGGCCCAAACTTTCCTTATTCAAATCTGCTTAACCTTTAAGGTTCTTCTCAAGGCCTACTTCTTGACTCTCTAGGCAGGAATAGCTACATCTTTCCAAAGGTATATCGGAGTGTTACTATTGAATCTGTATCTCTCTTCTTCAAAAATAAATAAATAATGAGAAAATCAATCTGTAACATATTCTGTATCTTGGAGCTACAAGAAGCTGGTTCTAAACCTCACACCCGCTATTGCGGTGCAATGCAAAGCCTGGCACGTTACTAAATTTCCTTGAAACTCAATTTCCTGATCACTAAAATGAGAATTAAATTGGGTGATGTGTACAAATTGTTCAGTATTATTCATTACATACGTACTTACTTGATGTTACTATTTTTACTTTTCTAGAAGGGAGATGCAGACTAAAATTCAAGATGAGCAAAGATAAACCAAAAAGTAGTACTCAAATTTGGGTCCGTTAGGGTAAAGCAGCCTCACAACTTTTAAACGTGCCCTCACATAATGTACCCTCAGTACATCTTCTTATCAGTGTCCTACTGCAAACCACGAAAAGCTCTAGGCAAAGAAAGACACACAGCCCAGATATACAGGTCCAAGGTTGTGGGCCTAACACTGCTATCTTTCCCAAGAACGTATGAGCCTCTGAGCAAACCTGACGCTGAATAAAAGGTTAAGAGAAGACATGCCGGGGCTGGGGATTTAGCTCAGCGACAAAGCGCCTGCCTGGCAAGTGCAAGGTCGTGAGTTCGGTTCCTGGTACCGGAGAAAAACCAAAAAAACCAAAAAAAAAAAAAAAATTTATGAAGAGAAGACATGCCTTCTATTACATAAGCCAGACAATAAATAATTTTTTTTTTTTGTCTTTTTGAGACAGGGTCTCGCTGTGCAGTTCAGGCTGACCTTGAGCTCACTTTGTAGCCCAGGATGGTCTCGAACTCGCAACGATCCTCCTGCCTCAGCCTCCCGAGTGCTGGGATTACAGGCGTGCGCCACCACGCCCGGCTAAGTTAATTTTTTAAAGTGTGTCTTATTTCTTCAATGCAAGCAAAATCACTTCTGCAAATTCCGTTGTCAGAGAAAGTCCAAATGGGTCAGAGGCTGAGTCACCAATTGAAAACCAGAATAGGGCTGCACCGCGACCTGGGCATCCCACACGCGGCCGCGGCCACCGCCTTCCCGGTCCCCACGCGTGTCGCGCGCGGGGCGCGCCCAGCCCAGCTGAGCTCCGAGTCGGGCGCCTCACCCCGGGGTCCCAACCGCGGCTTCTCCCCCAGCCCGACAACCCCACTCACTCACCCGGGCGGTCACCTTATACACTGTGTAGCCCCTCGGGTGTCGCTGGGGCTCGGTGACAGTGTAGAAACGAGCCAGGTCGGCGCTCCGCTCCCGGGGAGCTGTCATCCTCCCTCCGCCTCTGCCGCCGCCGCAAGCCTGGAAGCATCGGGGCGACCCAGAGGCGCGGCGGTCCGGGCGCCCACACAGCCGCCCAGCGACAGGGGGGCGGCGGCTGCACGGCGGCGCCGCGGCGGCTCCGCTCTGCTTCCGTGTCGCGGGGAGAGGTTCCGGGTCACGCCGCGTCCCGCGCCGGCTTCCGGTGCCACTCGGGTCGGGGCTGCAGTGAGCGCGAAGGTCAGGGAGCCTCATCAGTACCCGCGTCGTCGCGGGGACCTGAGACGACCCCACCCCGTCTCCCTGTGCGCGCGCTCCGTCACGTGGATCCCGTGAGCGCTGTTGCGGCCTCGCCGCGCCGGGGAGCGTGTGGATCCGCCCGGAGCCCAGCCCTGCGTTCCCAGGCCGGTGGAGGCGAAGGGATGGAGGGGCGCCCGGCCCGGCAACTGCTTTCCCTCTCTGTCTGGATCTGTCGTTTCCGGTACCCTGCGCAACGCCTCAACCCGGGTGGACTCGACCCTTCCTTCTTCGTAAGACGAATCCCGTCGCTTACACCCCTGTCTTTCCGTACACCTGCGCAGCAAGCTCCCAGCGCTAAATCAGTTTTTGTTGTTGTTTTGTTTTTGTTTTGTTTTGCATTGTTTTGTTTTGTCTTTTTGAGACAGGGCCTCACCCAAGTGAAACTTGAGCTCACTTTGTAGCCCAGGCTGGACTCAGCTCACAATGATCTCCTGTCTCAGCCTCCTGAGTGCTGGGATTACATGCGTGCGCCACCACACCCGGCTAAATCAGTCTTTAAAACATCCCCTCAGGGCTGGGGATTTAGCACAGCGCAAGGTCGTGAGTTCGATTCCCGGTACCAGAAAAAAAAAAAAAATCCCCTCAGAGTCTAAAACCTGGAACCTGCATCTGTGGGGAGGCGGGGGAAGGAGGGCAAGGTTCGCACTCCAAATCCAAAGCAAAGGATTTCCAGTTTTAGCTGGTTCCTGTCCACTGCCCGACAATTCCTTTCTGACATGCTCTGGCTACTTGGGACAGTAAAACAGTGATTACTGATACTGCTTCAACCTGACCACGCGTGAAGGCAGGTATCATTAATCAGACACGTAAGTTTTCTTATTTAACTATTAAATTGGGGCTTGTGTTGTTTCATAAAATAAATTAAAATATAAAAAAGGAAATTTCACTACTTAAATGCATTAACTAGATGCCCAAGGCCACAGTGCAGTTCACGCAAGCCAAAATGATGGGTTCGTGTTCTATAACATTTATCCTTCAGTAAAAAGCTATTAAAATCAAAGTAAGGGAAAATGGAGCTCCACAGTTCCACTACTCACTATAAGCAATTTTTAAAAATGGCAAAAACTCAGAATCAGCTTTTTTGGATCTCTAACCAAAGGTTTTCTTTTTTGGAAACTAACCAAAGGTTGGTAGCAACTCAGAAGCACTTACTCAAGAAAATATGCTGGATGTTTAAGAACAGCAAGCTTTGTGGCATTCTAAGTTACCATAGTCTCATTCCGTACTCCTCAGCTGAAGTATATGCTTGAAAATACCCTACATTCCTGGTACCCAGAACCAGAGGTTGAGTAAGAGACCTCACAGAGAATTGTTTTTACCCTTCTGGTGGCACCAAAAGCTCAGAAGATTTTGTCTAACCTAGCCCCAGTGTTAAAGCTAGTAACCAGGAGGCATTTTTCAAAAATACTGTATGTACAGTTAAATATTTTACTTACTGCTGCCTGGGGGAGTACATAATTGAGCAAATGGTAGGCTGCGCAAGAAGCCTAATAGGGTTGCCAGGCGTGGTGGTGCATGCCTGTAATCCCAGCACTCAGGAGGCTGAGGCAGGATCATTGTAAGTTCAGTACCAGCCTGGGCTACAAAGTGAGCTCAAGGCCAGCCTGAACTGCATAGCGAGACCCTGTCTCAAAAAAGAAAAAAACATAAAGAAGCCTAATAGGAAAGGCTGGAGAATGAGAAGCAAAGCTGGGATTTCTGGCAATCTAGAAGATCATGTATGTGAACAGGGCCGTGCACATTCTCCAACAAGCCCTGAGGAGGTCTTTCATGGTCTTATCTGGCTTACCATGAAGCTCTGCATAAGCAAAAAGAGAAAGCAAGGCAAAGTTGTAAACAGTCTTACTGAGTGTATGAGGCAATCCCCAGCATACAAACAAAACCCTTCTGCAAAGACCAGGAGAGTTTTTGTTGTTGCTGTTCCAAGCATCTAAGAAAAGCTCTCACTTTGTTATCTACCCAAAACAGGTTACAAAATTTATTCAGAAACTGCCAATCATACACCAGACATAGTGATGGACACCTGTAATACCAGCATTTGGAATGCTGAGGCAGGAGGATCCCTGCAAGTTCTCGGCTAGCCTAGGCTACGTGGGAGTTCAAGGCCAGCCTGGGCTACATAGCAAGACTCTGTCTTTAAAAAAAAAAAAAAAAAAAGTAAAAAAAGAAATTTAAACATTTCAAGTTCAGAAACTTCAAACATAAAAGGACTTTTTTCTCAGCAGTAAGGATTGCATCCCGAGGTACACTGAGCTACATTTTAGCCCCTTTTATTTGTTTATGTACCATAGTTTGGGACAGGATCTCACTAACCTACCCAAGCTGGCCTTAAACTTGCAGTCCTCCTGCCTCAGCATCCCCAGTACCTGAGATTATAGATATATGCCACCACACTTGGCTAAAATAACTGGAGGGAGGGGGATTAGGAATAACAACTTGAGAAACATGAACACTGTTATGGTTTATTCTAGATGTCCCCCAAAGCCTAGTGCAATGATGAGGCACAGGCTTTTAAGAGGTGGTTGAATGTAGAGTCTGTGATTGATTCATGGTCCCGTGCTGGAATTAAAGGTGTGCATGCTACAGACAGAAGGGCAGGTAGTCTGAATATGGGGAGCAGCTAAAGCTGGAGATCAGTCACACATAGGAAGCTAAAGCAAGGCCAGTCCCAAGAACACAGAGCTGCTGAGGTGAGCTACATGAACAAGCTATTCCAGCTCTGAGAACTCAGAAAAGCCTGAGGCAATCCAAGCAAACAGGTTCCTAGGCAGAGTAGTGTCTCCTGACCTCCACCTGCTAAGTGTATAAATAAACACACTGCAGTAATTGAGCAGTTCTTTTCTCCCATATGGAGAGAGAGCTTCACCTGACCTTAGCTTTCTGACTCGTGTCTACATTTCTTCATCCTCCACTGTCCCCGGGAAGTTTGAGACCTGAACCGGACACAGAATCTAGATACAGTATAAGGAACTGAAAGAGGTTTGTCCCACACTCTCTTGTTGCTTTTTCTGTCTCCTGCTGCCATGAACTGTTGCCCCTCTGCCATGTGCCACTCTGCCTTGGAGCCAGCTGATATGGACTGAAACTTATACAAACTGTGAGCTATATGAACCTTTCCTGCTTCAACTTTGAGTGTTGGGTATTTTGTCTCAGCAACAGGAAAAGTAACTAAGACACACAGATATCTCAGAATCCCTTTTCTGAGGAAGCCAGGAAAAGTAGGAGTTCATGCATAGATGGGCTGTTGTATGTTGAGAAGGAACAAGGGCTATGTGAGCTTAGAAAACAAGAAAACACCATACACAAGCAAAATGGACATGTCCATAAAACAAGAGTCCATTTACCTCTTGATATACATCATGAGCCTCTGGACACAAGGTAAGTGTCTACTTAAGTCACTGCAGATGTCTGTGATTAAAGGATAAAGATGACCAAAGTTCACATTCCAGGCAGCAGCTGGAACTGCATAAATTCTAATTCCACCATGGCCATGACTCAGTTTTGAGAAAGTGTTTCAATGTCGCTTTCATTGTAATTTTCCCTTTATTTGCACAGAACTCTAACGACTACACCAGTCAATACAGTGAGCCCCGAGGAAGAGAGAGAATCTAATTTTCAGAATTGTCACATCATAAAACTCACAATGTCCATTTTCCAGCAAAAATCTGTAACACAGGAAGGGCAGGGGGAAGTAAATATCCATACATAACAATGAAAAGAAATCAAAAACTATGTTCATGAAAAGCCTAGGTGGTGGTTATACTCAACAAAGACTTTGAATCAGCTATTTCAAATATGTTAAAATAGCTTGGCTTAGTTACTTTTCTCATTGCTAGGACAAAATATCCAACACCCACAAGATAAAGGAAAAAAGGTTCATTTCAGCTTACATTTTGTAGACATTTCAGTCCAGAGTCTGCTGGCTCCAAGGCAGGGTGGCATGGCAGAGGGACATGTCAAAGGAAAATAGTCCATGGCAGAGCAGGCAGGAGGCAGTGAAGCACCAAGCAAGCCTGTCTTCTCTCTCTCCCGTTGTATTCCATCCAGGCTATAACTCTGTTGGTACATGCCACCCACATCCAGGTTGGGGCTTCCATTATCCACATCCCATTTAGTTATCACACGCCCTAGATCTACTCACCTTGAAAAAGCTCCACCTCTGAGCCCATGAGGTTTTGAGGGGACATCTAAATAGAAGCCATAATATAGCTAAAGGAAACCATGTCTAAATTAATCAAAACTAAAACTAACTCAAGAAACAAAATCTGAATGGACCTACAGTGTGTTAGACCAAAACTCCTGACACTCTGAAATAAAAAGATTTATTATACTGTTGCAGATACTAGCCAGAAAAAGGATCAGGTCCTGGGACAAAGTCTCACAATTATCAGGGCTGAGTATTTTTCAATTTTTATTAACATTTAGGGTAAAGAAAGCATTGGCTACTGTATTACACAAAGTGAGGAAAGCTTTGGTCCTACAGGGGAAAGAACTGTCACCATGACAACCTGAGATATTTTTATTGAGAGTAGGCTATCTTCAGGCATTTTCCAAAATTTCAGGGTAGAAATTGAAGGACGTGTGTGGGAGTTAAGAGATGCTTCAAATTTTATTTTCACCCTTATTTTTTAGCTTATCCTTGCAATGTACATATCACCAAATCCTGTATTATAAAAGCAAAAGATAAAAGTAGTTTTAGACCCTATAATTACATGTGAATGTTGTGAACGTATATATGTGATTGTATAACTTCACTAGTTTGGGAGATTTTCACAAAGAATGTTCGGTTTCCTAAAGAACAAAAAAATTTCTATCAAGAGTTCAGAATAGATTATTGTACAAAGGTATATTCTTCCTTGGCTAAAAAACCTGGAAATGTCAGGTGAATACAGTGGCGGCTCAGTTCACAAACACTTTTGTTTACAAACAATATGGTTGAGAAACAGAACTGCTTGGCAAAATTTTGTTGCAGTTTGCAAACTCTGCATTGGGTGACAAACACAACCACGGCCATCCTCCTATGCAGGCACGGCCAGGGCCATCCTCCTATGCAAGCACAAACACAGCCATCTTTTCTCAAAATCATAGAACAAGTTAAGTTCATAAACCAAAGTACCACTGTACTTCCTTTCTGCACTGAAGTTACACTACATTAGCTTTAATCTGATTTTATATAATTTTTATCTTCTAGAATTATTGCTGTGTACTCTTTCCCAAAAAAGTTTACACAGCTTTGTTGTATGTGTATTATCTATTCAATATATGCTAATTTAACTGACTTTATATACTCAAAATTTCTTATATTAAATTGATGAGAATTTTAGCCTCTTTATAGCTATCGTTTTATTGTCATAGTATTTCATTAAATATTATTATCCCCATTTTACAGATAACTGTGACCAAAGAGTTGATGTATTCGCCCACTGCATAGCTGAGAAATACAGAGTCTATGTTAATACCCAGATAAATAGATAGACATATTTTCCTTGCTCCTCATTTCTGGTGTACACTGTGATTTATATGGATTTGGTCTTTGTACCTATTTCCTGGCACACAACTACCAAAACTCTTAAAATGTCTTAAGTGATACTAATGAGATGATTTGTAGCTGGGGGCCCCTGGAGAGCATCAGGATAGGGTCCCAGTTGCTAGGGGAACCAACTAGGTGTATGATTAGACAATGAGAACTTTGGTCCCATTCCCAAACCTCCGTGAGAGAAAAATTTTGAAGGCTGAGCAGAAGGCAACCTTCAATGGATTATATCGGTGGCCAATGACATAATCAATCATACCTATGTAACAAAACCTTTATTTAAAAAACCAAAAGGACAGAGCTGAGAGCTTCCAGGTTACGGGTCTTGGGGAGGGTCCTGGAGGAGGGCAGGCAAGAGACAATATAGAAACCCCAGACCCTTCCTACGTACTTCACTCTGTGCATCTCTTCCGTCTGGCTGAGCTTCTGTGTCCTTTGTAATACTAAAATTGCCCAAGGCCTGGACACACGTGGAAATGTATTCTGTAGATGACAAAGTTCTTAAATTGTCCCTTAGGATATTGTGCCTTGAGAATCTACGTAAGGGTAGTTGCAAACCAGCTTTTCAGGAATGGACATGCGCAGAAGTCAGCTTTACCTTTTAATCAGACCATTACCTTTTAATATCACAAGCTCAAAATCATGGTAATGTCCCCCCAAAGAGACATGCAACCTATGAAGAGCCATAATGACCATCTTTCCCAGCACAGAAGACCCATAAAACTTGCCTTTATTGCCATCCAGTCCACAAGCAGCCTCTTCCCTCTCTCTTCCTATGTATAAATTCCCTCAATACCAACTGCTTGGAAAGGCAGATTTGGACTTTATTTCCGCTCTTGTCCTCTTTATTGAATAAACTTCTTTTTTGGGCAAAAAATGGTGCCATCGTATTGGCTTTTCTGCGTATCGGGCACTGAGCACTTACTTCCTCCAATACAGCAATCAAGGAATGCTGGTAACAAACAGACAAGGAGCTTTAATCAGTACGGCCACTCAGGTCATACATTCAGGTTTGTGTGTTTGCTGCTGGGCAAAACAAAGGAGGCCATTTATTTTGGTAAAAAGGATTTATTCAGAGCTAGCTCCAAGGGGATGTGTGAGCCCATTCACTTCAAATCACCATTGTTTTGTGTCTGGATGTCCCCCAGAAGGCTCATGCAGTCATGAGCATGGGCTTCCAGAGGTTTTGATGGACTCATGGTCCAGTGCTGGGATTATGGGTGTGAGTGGCTACGCCTGCCCTGGGATGGGGAGCCTGCATACAGTATAAGGGAAGGAAAGAGACTTGCTGTCTCTGCTCCTGCCTTTTGCTCTTGTTGCTTTTGCTGTCTTCCACCATCATGAGCTGTTGCCCCTCTGCCATGTGCCACCTGCTTGGAGCCAGCTGATTATGGACTGAAACCTCCACTGGTTTCAGCTAAATAAACCTCTCTTTCCTTAATTTTGGGCCTCAGGTATTTTGTCTCAGCAATGAGAGAAAAGTAACCAAGACAGCCATGTTACCAAGTGCAGGTGTGGAAGGGTTTTTTATGCAAGAAATAGTGAGGGGAGGTAATACAATAATATAATAGACCTGCAGGTCTGTCTCATCCTTTCCTGGTCCCCACCATCTCCCTCCCTTGCCTACAGAAATGAAACTGGACTTTGGCCTCATGCACATTCTATACATCCATCTGGGGTGAGAACGCCATCCATGCTGAAGACCTCAGGAAGCCTGGAAAAGCCACTTGCCTCTAAAGGGAAAATCCAACTTACCAAGTTCCATTTCATCACGCTGGCTACAACTCACACTGCCTACAACTCACACTGCCTTAGAACAGCCCTCAGTCTTGAGGGCCTTAAGGGACCACATCAGCTGCTGACTGTCTAATGTCGGATTGGTGCACCAATAGCATCCAAGGAAAATGGAGCATAAGCAAAGGGAAGTAGATGCTTGAGCCTAAAACAGTATGAGTAAAAATTGTGAAATTAAATACAAAAACTAAAAACAGAAGATATCTAACAGCTACCCCTGCTAGAAGTGCTTTTTGTTTTTAAGCAATCATGCCTGCAAATCTCTTTCCTAAACTCTGCGGCTCTATTTTTAATAGGGTTGACACACACAAACAACTCTTCAATGGTTGTAACTTTCTCTGTTGTCTCTGAAGGCATTGTTTTCTCTTCTGAAGGCTTTGCCAGTTAACTAATCATGGCCAGTGGTGCTAAGGTATTACTCCCTGTTGATGGTCAGGCAGAACCATCCACTCGCACTGGAAAGGATGTGACAGGTGATGCTGGAGTCAGTGTCATAAAATCTTTCCTGCCAAATTTGAACAATATCAGATACTTACAAAGAGTGGCTCTTAGACTTAGTTTCTCTAGAGTGCATTGTCAAGTCTAATCCTGTCTGTCCTGTAGTCAGCACACTAAAACATCAGAGCTTTGACAAACAAGAGCTACAACACATATGTGCAGATATAAAAGAAGCCAGTAAGCATAGCTGTACCATAGACTTAAACTAAGAAACATAGTGACTGAGTTAATGAAAGAAAGACAATAGGCTGGGGATTTTTCAGCGGCACAGTGCCTGCCTGGCAAGCGCAAGGTCGTGAGTTCGATTTCTGGTACTGAAAAAAAAAACAGAAAGCCAATGTTTCTGTGAGACAAGGTTCATTTGGTCAGCAATTTATGTCACACAAATACTTAAAAGTTCCCTTTTCTTGTAAACTAATGTGAATTAACATTTGGGAAAAAGCATATCATTTACATACATACATACAGAACTACAAAAATTTTGGATACTTTGTGCAAGAATTAATGTCTATTTTACCAATGAAGAGCAAGACTCTTATCCACCAAGAACGTGTGTGCCAGTTTCATGACTATAAGCAATGCACAAAGTAGCAATTTATAAAGACAATTTAGTTATCTTAGGGGCATATTAAGACAATTATGACTGATTTATACCAAGATAATTAATTTTTAAAAATAAGGCAAAGTACATATAATAATAGTTTATGTAAGCTGGGTGTGGTGGCATATGCCTGTAATCCCAGCACTTGGGAGGCTGAGGCAGGAGGATCGTTGCAAGTTTGAGACCAGCCTGGACTACAAATTAGCTCAAGGACAGCCTGAACTGCATAGTGAGACCCTATCTCAAAAAGACAAAAAAGGGCCAGGGATATAGCTCAGTGGCATAAGTGCCTGCCTGGCAAGTGCAAGGTCCTGAGTTTGATTCTCATACTAAAAAAAAAAAAAAAGAAAAAAAGAAAAGTTTATGTAACCAGAAATATGAAACAAAACTTTAACAGATATCTAAGTAAATGTAAACTTCCTAAGACATAATTTTTAAATATGAAAACCACAAAAAATTATTTTAACAAAAGTAAAACCTCTCTTAAAGACTTGGAAACTGGGGCTGGGGATTTAGCTCAGTGGCAAAAGCGCCTGCCTGGCAAGTGCGAGGTCATGAGTTCGGTTCCCGGTACCGGAGAAAAACCAAAAAAAAAAAAAAAAAAGGACTTGTAAACTTTACTAAGAGCAAATCAATATCTTAAGACTTACTGTTTTAAACATAGATTCTGACATTATCTTGGTATATAACATTTGTAATTCTTCCTTATTATTTCCTTAGATCAAACTGTCTTTACCTAAAAAGATATACTGTTAAAATGTGATCAATTTTCAACAAAAACATAACTTTTAGATTATTACAAAGTTATTCTACACCACACATAGACTATCAGTATGTTATTACTCTTATCTGTGTCCCAAATTTTAAGTGTCATATACAAATGTAAACACCGTTCATCTAGAAAAGAATTATATAAGATATAACAAAATATATTTTTGTTTCTGAAGCTTGCAAGGTTCTTCTGTAGAAACAAAACATATTTAAGAACCATATTTAAGTACTAATTTAAACAAAGAGTAGACAATAAAATAACAGTTTATCTATTACAGAGAAGCAAGCAAGCCTTTTAAGCATCTCATGAAACTATTAGCACTAAGCCATATAAATAAACCCATCAACCAACAGGTAAGTCACAGCTAGTAAGTACTTTTGCTTAAATACTTTATTGCAATTGTTTTGATAAAACCAGGTACTAGTGGAAAACAAAACAAATATAAGTGAATCCCATCTACGTAATACAAAATACCTCAAAATTTCCGGCCAGTCTTTTCCCCATTAAGTTGATAGCTGTTCATACAGGTTAACACAGGAGCAGTGTAAGCTCCTGAGGTCTGCTCATGATCAGAGAGGAGACATCCTTTGTCAGCAAAATCCATAGCAACCAAGGAGAAAGGACTTGCTCTGTATTTGTCACTGTCTGACAGTGAAATAGCAGGAAACTCTATTTGTGCATCCTACCCACCCAAATAGTCCCAGAGCGGGTAGATTCCAATCCTTAGGTTTTCAGCCACTAGGTTAGTGCAGAATTTCTGATACGAGGTTCTGCCTCTGGCTGGGCTTCGGGAGCTCTCATGGCTTATTTAAGGATAACACACCCAGTGAATGTCTTAAGACCCCTCTAACATCTCGCACTGCGGACCTGTCTGCAAGAATCAGGACCCTGCTAGTGGGCAGTGGCACAGGGGCAGACCACAGCTTTCCCCTGGCCCTGCAGCATGCTCTGTTGTAGGTACAGGAATACAGCAAGCCCACCACACAGAAGAGAGTAGTTATTAAGTCTAAAGCGAAGTATTTCCTTTTCCTCAAACAATTACTAGAAAAAAAAACTTGCTAAACTACTAAATGAGTTGTACTTATCCATATCATTAACTTTAGAATATCTTAAACTAGTGAACAGCCAGGAATATAGCTCAGTGGCACAGCACCTTCCTGGCAAGTGCAAGATCCTGAGTTCAATTCCCAGTAGAAAAAAAAAAAGCTTTGTTAAACTAGTGAACAAATAGAACACTCAGTCACTTTAGGACTCACTATGTAAAGTTCATTTTTAACTTGTTGATCGATATTTTGACAAGTCTCCACTTGCAGATACTTATTATCCTCCTAGAATAATTATTCTCAAACTTATTAAAAGGTCAGCTATTTTTTATCACAATGTTATACATTTATATAAACAATCATGAAATATATTTTAATACACCCAAATATTTCATTTATAAATTTTAAGAAACAAGAAATATATTGATTTATACTTAGCAAATGTCCTTAGTATTTTAACTTATTTATAAATAACTCGGATGTTTTACTTATATATCCATCTAATTTAATTTTATCAGTTGCCTCTCTTTTGCATAAAAAATATAAAATATCTAACAAGCAGAAGTTAATGTCCCAAACCAATTTTCCCCCTGAGGAAGGAAAACTCTGGAAAATTGTAGTCAAATACTTTTGGGAAGATGGTGAGTGGTAAGCAGCAGAAAAAAGTCTCTCTGAGATTTTGGGTCCAGATTTTGTGTCCAGGAATATAGCAATGTGAGCAGGAAAAGAAGGAGGGAGGGGAGTCCCAGGACCCTGTAAGGCTCTGAAGTGAGAACTGAAGCCCACAGGCAGAGCCAAAAGAAAGACTTCGAGGAAGGAGAAGGAGATGACAGGTGGCGTTTTTTTTCCCTGAGCCCAGACTCACTGTGTGGGAGGCGCTGCTATCACCTGAAGATACATGATGACTACTGGTGACTGCAGAGGCCTCCATGGAGGAACACAGCAGTGGAACAGAGCAGTGGACATAATGGACCACAGAGGCTACTGAGGATTCGGATACACAAGAACAGGGCAATCGGCCGGGACCCATCTTGGAGAGGGGCCACCTGGGCTTGGAACTTAGAGCAAATGCTAGTGGCTCCCAGTGTTGAGGTCAGAAAGCAGAGTTCAAGTTAGCAGGAGGTCAAGGAGCTGAATTCCAGCCAGCAGGAGGTGCACAAACTGCTGGA